TTTATACTTATTTACCGCATAACTCAGTTTTATGACTTTATTTTGATGCATATAAATGTTTTGGGCCGAATGTCCTGTTTTACTAAAATGCCCGAGTGGCTTGAGAGGTTTATGACTGAGTAAGGCCGAGGGCCTGATTTGTGAGGATATTTATGGGATCGGGTTGCACGCCACAACATGTTTGATATCACTGAGGGCCTGATTGTGAGGATGAGTGTGGATCGGGGCTGTCCGCCAACAGCGTACTTTATTACTATAGCACGTGAGTTGTCTGTGCAACACGTGAGTTGTCCGTACAGATTATTAGCGTTTGAGCTGAAGGAGCCCCTCCGGAGTCTGTACACACCCCAGTAAGCGCAGGTACCTATTGAGTGCTGAGTGACTGGGAGGCATGAGTGATTGTGAGGTATGCCCGAGTAGCAAGAGTGATTGTGAGGTATGCCCGAGTAGCAAGAGTGATTGTGAGGTATGCCCGAGTGGTACGAGTGACTGTGAAGTTTGCCCAAGGGGTTGTTTATGATTTCATCATTTTTGCTCACCTTTGCATTGAGCCTTTGTTTGAAAAACTGTTGAAAAAATATCTTTAAATGATTTTTACTGGAACCGGGTTTAAACGAGATGACTTGATTCAAATACTGATTTTTAAAGCATGTTGTATTTTTCTGAGATTTCATGATATGAATGTTATATGCTTTATTGCTCGTCACTACTGCTCGGTCTTTATTTATTGTTGTTACTTACTGAGTTGGTGTACTCACGTTACTCCCTACACCTTGTGTGCAGATTCAGGTGTAGCTAGGAACAGTAGCGGTTATTGAGTATTCTGGTTGCAGATTTTCTTGGAGATAGCAAGGTAGCTGTTTGGCGATCGCAGCCCCTGCTCTTCTCCCTCTTATCTTTCTCTAGCTGTATTTAGCTATTTTCCAAGCTGAGTTAGCCTTAATATTGTTAGACAGATTATAGTAGATGCTCATGACTAGTGACATCCTGATGTCGGGCTTTTTCTTCCGCACTTTTATTTTGATTGGAACTCCTTTACGAAGGTTTTTACGTTAAATAACATTGAAATTATCTTTGAAAAGAAAATATCGATTTGTTTTGGAAATCAGTCGACTTGCCTAGTTCCACGATAGGCGCCATCATGACAGGGGTTAGTTTGGGTCATGACACTCCTATGGTGGATGTAGTCATTTTAGGTTTTAATCTGGCAATACATGAAAATTTTGATATGCGTATAATGAAAATCATTGAAGGATTTAAATTGTTCTGAAGCATATTAACATTTCCAAGAAATTTATTAAATAAAGTTTCAAAAATTCTTATACGGATTGAAACAATCAGGGCCCATGTGGTATAATCGCCTGAGTGAGTACCTGTTGAAAGAAGGGTATAAAAATGATTCAATTTGTCCTTGTGTCTTTATAAAAAGATCTGGATTTGAATTTGTTAGAATCGCCGTGTATGTTGATGATTTAAATATCATTGGAACTCCGGGTGAGCTTCCTAAAGCAATAGACTGTTTAAAGAAAGAATTTGAAATGGAAGATCTTGGAAAGACAAAATTTCGTATTGGTCTACAAATTGAGTATATGAAAGATGGAATTTTTATCCATCAATCAGCATACACTGAAAAGATTTTAAAGCGATTCTATATGGATAAAGCACATCCATTGAGTACCCCGATGGTTGTGAGATCACTTGATATAAATAAAGATACATTCCGACCTCATGAAAATAATGAAGAGCTTCTTGATCCTGAAGTACCATATCTTAGTGCAATTGGCGCACTAATGTATCTTGCTAACTCTATAAGACCTAATACAATTTTTTTACTTAATGTCTTAGCAAGATATAGCTCTGCTCCTACAAGGAGACATTAGAATGGAATTAAACACATATTGTGGTATCTAAAAGGAACTACCGATATGGGATTATTTTATGGCAATGATTGCAGTCCCGATCTTGTTGGTTGTGCCGATGCTGGATATTTATCTTACCCACACAAGGCTTGATCTCAAACAGACTACTTCATCTAATCATGCTGAGATAATTGCTATTCATGAAGCAAGTCGAGAATGTGTATGGTTGAGGTATATAATACATCTTATTCGAGACAAATGTGGTTTGAAGTGTGACAAACTACCCACAATTTTGTATGAAGACAATACAATATGCATAGCCCAATTGAAGGGAGGATACATAAAAGGAGATAGGACAAAGCATATTTCACCAAAGTTATTTTTCACACATGATCTTCAAAAGAATGGTGATATCAATGTGCAACAGATTCGTTCAAATGATAATATGACTGATTTGTTCACCAAATTTCTACCGACGTCAACCTTCAAGAAACTAGTGTACAAGATTGGGATGTGAAGGCTCAAGGATGTGAATTGATGCTCTCATCAGGGGGAGTTAATATACGTTGTACTCTTTTTCCCTTACAAGGTTTTGTCCCACTGGGTTTTCCTTGAAGGTTTTTAACGAGGGCAACCAAAAGGCGTATTTATAAATATATGTACTCTTTTTCCTTCACTAGGATTTTTTTAGAGGGGTTTTTCTAATAAGGTTTTAACGAGATACATTATCTATGGACATTCAAGGGGGAGTGTTATAAGAAAAATTAAATTATGGTGGATGTCTACTCTTCCTCCATTATCTTCCTCCATGATCTTATCTCAAATGCTTAATGACATATTCAATGACATACTATTCTTCACTTTTCATACCTATATAAAGGTCTTATAATAGATAGGAAAATACGCACAATTGAAGAAGAAAATCTCTTCCTTATCTCTATCTCTATTTCTTATTAATGTTTTACTAAATTGCTTTTATTTCATAACACCTCTTGATTTATATACTGCACATTGATTACCAAAGTCTCTATACATTCTCCCACTCTGGATTTTATGTACCTTTTTTAAATATTTTACTTAAATAAAATTTAAAAAATCAAATAAAGTCTTTTACAATAAATATTTTAATTATTTATTTAAATATTATTAATCATAAATAAATATTTACATGCTTTTTTTATTGTAATTTACGTTCAAAAGCATTTTAAAAAAGATTAGCCAAACTATAAGTACCTTTGTAATACTATAAAAGTATTCTATAAATGATTTTTGGCCAAACAAAAATTGTTTTTATAGAAGTATTTTTTCTAAATAAAAAATTACTTTTCAAAATTAGCAGATTTTGAAAATTTGACCAACAATACTCTTATTGTTATTGTTGCATTTACGAAGAACGGTGTTTGTCTAGAATCTTATTGGTCTAATTAGAAATTTATATATATTAATGAAGGGATATGTGTGACGTTAAATATGTTTTGGGGAAAATATTTATTTACAAATTAAAATGAAGTTCGAATAAAATAATATACTCTACTATTGCAAGGAGTCCATACAACCGACTCACTAGATATGGTAGAGAGGAGTTGATTGACATAACAAATGGAGCAGTAATCTTTACTCTGAGACCAAGGAAAATTGACTTTTACAATAAAGCAATTAAAGCATGATAAGTAGATATAATAGACCGACCTAAAGTAATAGGTTATCTTAAAATGCAAAATTTTCAAAAAAGGTAAAAGCAGTATTAAAAAGTAGGGGATCCTTTATCGTAGATTGCGAGGTGAAGACAATCCAGACAAGATTTAAGACTAATTTAACATAAGAAATGAGTATACACAAGAAGAATTTGTTTCTTCAAAGCATTGGTTATTTGGTTTTATGGCAAAATGTTAAAGGCTAGTTTTGTAGGGAGAATCTTGACATGTGTTTGGCAGACACATGCTCATGTCGGACTTTCCTAATTTAACTTAATTAATCAATATACCCTCTTTACATTATGTTAAGTCTTGTCCACTAGTAAGTTAATGTCACGTAATATGAATGTTATAGTTTTGGGGCCTATATATGATAAATTTAACTACTTTAATCCTTCTTTGAGTTTTCAACATCTCACTTCTAAAAATGACACTTGGTATTTGCATAGATAGAGAACCGAACTTTAGCTTTCAACAAAGAAGAATGACCGATCATAGATTAGTGGATCTGTGGGACTTTGATAGTGATCCTAAAATATTACTAGTATTACATTAGAGGAACATGTGGTGACAGAGACAATAGGTGTAAAATATCAAGTCACTCACTATTCCTTTGTGATAAAAAGAGTTTTTTTTTTATATAAATAATTAAGAATATCAACTATTTGCATGAGCAATATCGTATAAAAGCAGCATAGTATTTGTGATATTAATTTCTCCAAATAGACACGAGATGCTTATGAACTTTGTTCGTGCCTCACATTACTCCTAACTAATAATATATATCATAGACGGTGAGACGCATCAATCCAATTGCATGGACATAAATGGGAACCAAATTATTCTTTTTTTGGCAACATGCAACAGCACCAAGATATGGAATCCTATGCTATCCCACAAAGTCCCAACTCCAAAACATCTCCTACCGAACTCATTAAAATTTTTTATATATGTATATATAATTCAAGCCGATGACAATAAATTCAGTTGATAAATCCGCATATTCCCCTTCTTGGTCGGAAATAAGTAAGTTAGTGGTAAAGTATGACCAACAAGCGGGGATAGCTCAGTTGGGAGAGCGTCAGACTGAAGATCTGAAGGTCACGTGTTCGATCCACGTTCACCGCATTCTTCTTTTTTGTATCAATAACATGACAAGTCTCTTTGGAATTAAAATCTTTATCTTTTGGTGGTTCGCATAGTTAACTAACTACTAATCTGGAAGCTGAATGACCACTGGAATTGCAATTCAAATTGTTAGTCTGTCTTCTTGAGACAATATTTAACTAGCATTAAATGGTGTTACAACGAAAACTTTTATGCTTCACCTACGTTTTCATGTAGTTGGACAGAGAAGAATTTGGAGAGAGTATTAACAAAACATCTGAATGAGATTGTTAAAACAATAAGGAAACATTCGTCGGGGCATATACTTGAGAACTGCTTATAAACTAAACAAATTCACATTATGGATTGGTAGCATCAAACTTGTAGTGTTTCCCATACAACAAATTTTACCTGTTCAATTACAACTCAAACAATAATATGATCATCAAACTACCCAAACCTTGACTTAACATCTTCCAAATGTTGTACAGCTTCGTATGTTTTTTCTGGGTGAAGCAAAACAGCCAATCGGCTAAGTAAAAAAGATATAAATAAATAGATTAAAAGAAATCAAATTCAAGATAGTTATCTGAATTTTTCTGCTGAGGGACAGTTCCAGCTACAGCTTTCTCACTGGTGGATGCTGCTGGAACTGAAATTCTCTCGAATTCCACGGGCCTTGGGATCTCAGGAGGGCTTGCACAACGAATCAAAGCCCAATTTACACCTTCAAAGAAGGGATGCTGCTTAATTTCTGTGGCTCCTCTTTTGTATGCCAATCTATGCTGTGGCTCTTTCACGAGCAAGCCTCGGATAAGATCCCTTGCTGAAAAACTGACCACCGGAGATTCTGGAAACCGCAGGGGTTGACCCACAACGTTGAAAAGGGTTTGTCGATTCCCTGATCCTTTGAAGGGTGTCTTGCCAAACAATAACTCATAGAGAAAGATACCAAAAGTCCACCAGTCCACTGCACTTCCATGTCCTTCGCCTTTGATTATCTCGGGTGCTAAATACTCGTGGGTCCCGACAAATGACATCGATCGCGCTCCAGTAGGCTCAGCAATTAGCTCTGGTAATGGGCTAACTTGGTTCCCTATTTCATTCTTAGATTTCTTTTCTTTCTTTGACTTGCTAGAAAAAAGGCGAGGCCCAAAACAAGTTGTAGGAACAGCACAGGATGGCTGAATACAAGAGGGCTCGATGCAAGCTGGCTGCACACAATAAGCTGAATTCTTCCGCAGCGGCTCTGTTTCTAGGGATGATGNAGGAGGGGTAAAGCAGCAATGTATTACTTGAAATTGGGCATTTCTAATGTTACAAGACCTATGTTGCGCAAACTCTTCATTTTAGCTGCCGCACCCGTGTCAACACGACACTGGCACTAGTAAGGGTATGGGATTCATACCACATGTGGTCAATCGAGATCGGGTACTTTGACCACAATCCATGGACAAATTTGAGGAAAAATGAAAAATTGAATTATAGTTGCTGCCTGCTAGTGCCTACTGCCTCAACTTGAGAAATTCTCAAAATGAAAGAATGGATTATTGGCTGCACTCCACAACTTATAGCCTGTTTGGCCAAGCTTCTAAAATCAGCTTATTTTGAGAAGTGCTTTGCTCAAAAGTACTTTTTAAAAAGTATTTTGATGAGAAGCAGTTTGTGTTTGGCTAATTAATTTGAAAAGCACGTTTGAGCAGTTTGGCCAAGCTTTTGAAAACTGCTTCTAAGTGTATTTTTCTCAAAAGTGCTTCTCAGAAAAGTGCTTTTGGAGAGAAGCTACTTTTTCCTGTGTCCTCAAAAGCACTCTTTTTCCTTCTAAAAGCTTGGCCAAACACCTCAATTTTTGACTCAAAGTGCTTTTGGCCAAAAAAAAGCTTGGCCAAACAAGCTATTACAAGTTTTCCAGAGAATATCTCATAATTTAGGATACTTTTATAGATCTATTTTTAGAATTTTGAATTACTTTTAGTAGAATCCCCACACCCGTATCCGTACCTAGTTCCATACCCCCGAATATTAAAATTTAGATTATGAAGGATCCGACCTCTAGATCCGCACCCGGATCGGATACCCGTTCACGAGTCTGAGCAACATAGGACAAGACCCTTAAAGCTTTGACCATTCATCAAGGATGAGAAGATGAACTGATGCAATACATCCTAACACAGTGCAAACTGAAACACAACAGAAAAAACAGGTATGATAAAAATCTGGTTTAAGCTAAAAGATCTGATTCAAGTAAACTCAGATCCATAGTTATCAAACTACATTTGAAATTAACTGTTTCCAGGAAATCAAGATTCATTACTCGCAAATCACAGCCTCAGCAACATGATTAACTTAATGTTCATATTTCAACAAACAGTACAGAAATGCATTGAGGAAACAACAGAAATGATTTGGTACATTAAACTTCACTTAAAATTGTAAATTTAGCAAGCACTAATCCTTAAAAACCTGTACCTAATCTTAAGTTAAATACGCTCTTTTTTCTTCGTTCCAAAGAATGAAATCAATTTTATAGAGTTCAAAGAAATTGATTATTGCATTTCGAAATTAATATATTTTATCAGCAATCAGAATAAGTTAACCATCAAATACATATTTCCACCAAAAAATAAACATTTTTTTATAAATTCCAATGAAAAGATTCATACATTTTAGTGGGAAAAAATTATTTCTTGAGTAGAAAGATGCGAAAGAAAAAGTAAATTATGTGGATAAGGGTATTTGAGATTAGAAGTTTGTAAATTATCCCAGACCCCACGGGGGTATGTTGTTGTTGTAAGTTTGTAAATTATGAAATCAAGGGTAAGTTCGGAAGTATCAGCACCTTTTCAATGCCAAAAAGTTTAATGAGGTGTATAGAGCTAATTTTGGAATGTACATGACATATCCTTCTAATACAGGGAAACATACAAACAGATGGAGGACTAAGCGCTATAAAAATCTTTTAGAAGAGAGACAGAAGATTGTCGCTTCAACATGGAAAAGAAAAAATATTAAGACAGAAAGAAGCATTGGTCCAATGCAATAAATAATATTTCTTGGATTCGCTTGCTGACTATGGAGAAAAGGATAACATGAATGCAGAAGATTTAAAACAAGGTGGGAAACCTTAAAGTGCAACGAAGAGAGAACTGCCGACTAAAACTTCAAACTGAAGAGTTGGCTTAGGCTTCATCATTTCAGTAACTTGGACAAGCAGGCAGGAATCATCAAATAAAGTAGCTGCCAGAAAGATGTCCAAAAAATAGGAAAAAATATAACTACTGACTGGTGGTGACTAGTGAGCAAGTGATATCATTTGATAGTGACAAACTAGTTTTTCAATGCTCCAAAAAAATCATCTTTATCTATTTCCCCCTGTTTGGGTTTCAAAGTTCTTTTTTCCTTTTTCTCAGGGGCAGGGGAAGGCAGCACTTACCTCAGACCTTCGTTATTTAAATGCTTCCTCTATCTTATATTAATCAGCAGAATTTGACTTAAGCAAGATATTAAAAAAAAATTGGATGGGTTATCTTATAAGAGCTTATTAAGTATAAAAAAATTAATAGTTGAACGAGAAGAAAGGTCTTTAGATGTCATATCTTAAAGGACATAGAAATACGTTATGTGCCTGCACCTGCAGAGCAGCAAACCTTGGTGTAGAATAAACAGCATTACAATGTGCAATTACGCAATGCCTTTTTCTTTCCCCAAAATAGAGAGAAAATGAGAATAAATTGATAGCAAAACGAAGTGTATTATTAACTGCCCGATAGAGTAACTTTCCCCTACCTACTTCAAAGCTCTCTCCTTTAAATAAAAATAAAGCTCTCCCTTTTCTCGAGCAAATACACACAAGTAAGAAACTGAAGCTTCTTATTGGTGACCTTTTTTTAAGCAGTTAAAGAAATAGTCACAGTAACTTGGAGCTTGCATTGAATTGGAAATAGTTGACCAGAAGAACATGCTAGTAACAACAGAGGACACAAAGAGCTCAACTAGCTCTGGAAGATAAACCAGCTCAGACATCCACTTGACTTAGGAAGAAAAACTAAGCAAATAATCCCCAAAGTAGCTCAAGCGCATATTTTAAAAATTTAAGATATAGAATCTAAACCACTGAACAAAAAATAAAGCCATAATATCAAATAACCAGCTCTTTGAACTAATAAATTATCAGTATGAGGCCACCGTGCAACAAAAATGTCCAGAAGTAAATGAAATAACCGGTTAGGACATGCAATACAAAAAAATTTAGGACTTGAAAGAACTTGTAGAGAATTCAGTTTGTTTCGATTAAATTTCTTGAGTCAACAGCGTAAAGAAGACAGAAACCCCCAAAAGAATCATATGCCATTTAAAGACATTTATATCCCTTGATCGCTATCCGTATTTCTGTCAAGTAGGGTCAATTTTGTCTAGAGCTGTAACAAGAACATATCTGGACCTACAAGTTAAAGCTATTGCCAATGTTGTAAAGTATGGAAATAATACTCCAGACCTGAAAGTAACAAAGATGCAAAACGTTTCGAAAAGAAAAAAGAGCAAACTATTTTAAGACTGTAAGGTTAGAGATCAAGTATCATACTTCACTGCTTGTTCTGAAAAATGCTTCCCTGGTTGCCTTTGTCTAAGCGTGTGCAAGTCTCCTCCTGGGCAGAACTCCATTACTAGACATGAAAATTTTTCTGTTTCAAAATGGCTATATAATGTTGGGAGAAATGGATGGTCCAAGGACTGCAATATCTCTCTTTCTGTCTGAGCACGAAGCAATTTCTTACGACTGGCTAATGACGCCTTATCCATAACTTTCATGGCAAAATAACACTTTGTACCACATAACTCAGATAGATACACACTTCCAATATCACCACTTCCCAACTTCTTCAGCAACCGGAAATGCCTCAAATCCAACATCCCATCTTTAGTTCGGATAGCTTGAATTGCTTCCCATCTTGAGTCATTAGCTTTATGAGGTTTGTTGACACTGCTGCTCAAGCTGCTAGAAGTACTCTCCTCACTTACATCAGTGCCTGTGCTCCCCCTACAGATGCTGCTCTTACCACTCTCAAGAAAATCTGCCCGGTCACTAATTTTGGCACTTCCACTTGTTTTCGCGAGGCTACTGGCCCCATCGCTAACTTTGGCTGATGCTGAGCTGTCCTTAATAGAACTCTTTCTTTCCTGATCAGCTGTGCCGCCTTGTGTGACCTTTGCCTCGGTAGGCACAGTACCTACACCGCTTGGTGCTTGTTTTGAATTGCCCAAATATAAGCTTGAATCAAATTTATCAGCGAGTGATTTGGGAGATCCCTTAGGCTGAGAGCTCTGTGACTTTTTGCTGGCTGCTGCTTCAACCATAAGCTGCTTCGATACAACTTCTCGTTCTTTAGAAGTTGCGATCTCTAATTTGTTACTTTTTGAAACTTGGGAAGGTGAAGACCTGCGAGAACTCTTGGTAGAAGGTGTTGAGGCCATCGCGATGAATACTGATACCTAAATGCAGTGAGCTGACCAAACCCATTACTCGAACTCCAAGTTCACTTCATTAACCCCCTTGTTATTAGAAAAAGAGATTAACATCAGCAGCTCCATCAACAACAGAAAATTCCTAAATTGAAACATGAAAACCATAAAAAACAAATTCCACAGCAAATCACAGTGAAAAGTTCCTAAATTGAAGCAAAAAAACTATAAAAGGACAATCCAGTGCACTATCTCAAGATACAAACAAGGGTAAAATGGAAAGAAAAAAGATCTGAAACAATTAGTAAAAGGAGAAACACACAAAGGGAAGGACTGATGAAATCAAAGTCTACAAGGTCAAAATAGACATTTTTTTAATAAGTAAGCTATGCAAACCATCATGTTATCCAACACAGATTAAGTAGTAGCAGGCACAGATCATTATTAGTAGTAAAAATAAAAGGTCTAAAACAGCTAGTGTCTAGGACATTTACCTCAAAAACTGGCTAATTTCCTCTCTCTTTTTTTCCAGGAAACAAGAACCTAAGAAGAAAGCAAATAATCAAAATGCAGACATTAAAAGAGCACTCAAAGACCACAAAAGAAGGAGATAAGAACAACCCCACCACATAGATGAAAAAGAAATAGAAGAAGGGTCAATGAAAGCACACAGATCTTGTGCAAAAGACCCACCTTTTTCTTTCCAATAAAACCCTACCAAAGAAAAATCGTTAAACCCCACAAAGACCCATATGCTAAAAAACAAAGTAAAACTCACCCAGCAAATCACTGGACCAGTTCAAAAGTGGCTTGCCTAAAAAATAGTACCTGAAGTCACAAAGATGATAACTTTAAGGGTTTTTTTTTGCTTCAGCAATGGACGAAAAAAGCAGTCTTTACTGTAGAGAAAGATAAAAGAGAGGGGACCTCTTATGAAAATGTAAGGAGAGAAAAAGCCTTTGAGATTGAAAAAAAGGAGTTGGGTATTTGGCAATTGTTGGGGCTAATTGTACCAAACTAGGAGTAGTATTAGGAATTGTATAATAATGAGAAGAAAGAGAACATGGAGGGTCAAAGCTAAAGTAAAGCTTTTCACGTTCAATTATTTCATTGTATTTTGTCACAAACACAAGTGTCTGAATCAACATATGGGCCACCACCCCTCTCCAACCTGTCTCTCATGCTTTCCCATTATGATATTCTCAAATATAAAGCATTAAATTAGATCATCAATCTCCACAAAAACACTAATCAATATGAGTTACTTTTTCTTTATCCTCCACTTATCAATTTTTTTACTTCCTCCTGTCAACAATAACTGATATTTTAGCTTTTGATACGCCCCATAAAAAAGTGCTAACTTTTAGAAAATTTTTTGAATAAATTATCCTTAATTAAAATTTATATAGTGTTAACTTGACACATTGGGATATGTAAATAAGGGCAAATTTTGAAAAAATAAAGTTAATTCCTTCTTGATTATATAAAAGTACACTTATTTTGGACCAAAATAAAGAGGCAAAAAAATCATTAATTATAGACCGGAAAGAGTAATTCACCGGTATGTCACTTACTTTTGTTAAGTAGGTGGTTAGAGTTAGTTAGTTAGTTATATAGCTAGCTGTACAATCATGTAGCGACAACCGTAAGTAAGGAAGTGTAGTCGGTTAGATGTATATAAAACAAAGTATGTACTCCTCTTATTAATTCATTCGAAAATCAATGGAACAGTAGAATTCCATTTTCCTTCTTCCTTCCTCCTCGAGCTTCTCTGTAAATATGGTGGTCTCAATCTTTTAACATGGTATCAGGGCTGACGTAATCGATTCAAGTTGTGTCGTTCTCACAGTTATCAAGCTTAGTCGAACCACTTCCTAGTTGATACAACTCAATTTTTCTTTCGTTTATGCTTGTTATCAATTCATTCGAGTTAGGGTTTGAATTGTCTTAGAACAGCAGAATCTCTGTTTCTAGTAAATCAATTCACCAAGTCTAGTTCGATCATCAATCGGGATTAAGGAAAACAGCTCGCCTAGGGGTTCAGACACAGTTGATTTGAACACTGGACTTCAGAGGGATTCACAGCTTCTATAGTCATCGATCAACATCATACATTATTTCTTCAACCATGCGATACTCCAGGTAGCTCTATTATCTCAATTAAGCTAATTGGACATGAGAATTATGCCCTATGTAGTAGTTATATGCGAGTCAGTCTACTTGGCAATAGCAAGTTAGGGTTTATTGATGGTAGATACACTAAGGATAAATTCCCCCTTCTTTACATGAATTGTGGGAAAAATATAATGTTATAGTCTTGTCATGGATCATGAACTCAGTTGGTAATGAGTTGCTAAGTGGCATAGTGTATGCATCTAGTGCACAAAAGGTGTGGTCTGATCTTAGAGAAAGTTTTGACAAAGTAAATGGATCTAGAATTCTGTTTCTGCACAGACAAATTGCTACTCTATCTTAGGGCATTTCATCTGTGTCAGTGTATTTCTCAAAGATGAAGGAGCTTTGGTCAGAGTTTGATGCACTCATGCCTTGTCCTGATTGTGGTTGTGAGGAGTCGAAGAGATATGCAGAACATTTTGGCAATCACAGGCTGTTGCAGTTTTTGATGGGCCTGGATGAGACTTATTCTCAATCTAGCAACCAGATAATGATGAAGAGTCCTACTCCAACTATAAACAAAGCCTATTCTATGATAATAGCATAAGAAAGTAGAAGATCTATGGCCAACTTTCTCAAACTTTTGCAGTAAATGAGGGAATAACTATGTTAAGTGGAAAATGAACTCCTTAAGTTTTAACTAGCTATAAGCCTAAAAAGAACAATTTGTTATGTGACTATTGCAATTACAAGGGTCACACAAGAGATACTTGCTACAAGCTTCATGGCTACCTTACAGACTTCAAGCCAAAAAGGAAGACTGGACCTAACAATGTTTCTCAATACACAAGGGCTCAGACTAGTATTGGTTCTAGTAATGTAGGCTTTGAGGAAGCAGCTAATTGTGCAGGACATTCTCAGCATAGTAGCCTTACTTCAACTAGTTAGGGTACCTACTCATGATGGGAATAATTACTTTCTTACACTAGTGGATGATCATTTCATGTTTACCTGAATTTTCTTGTTGCCCTTTAAAGCTGAAGTGATTGTTGTTATTAGACAGTTCTTCATTATGATTAAGAATGTCTAGTCTTGTACTGTGAAATTTCTGAGAACAGATAATGGTTGTGAGTTTTTCAACTCACATATGTCAGAATTATTGCAGTCTCTAGGTATTATTCATCAGAGTTCTTGTGTCTATACTCCACAGCAAAATGGAGTAGCTGAGAGGAGGAATAGACACATACTTAATGTTGCTAGGGCACTGAGATTTCAAGCAGGTGTTCCACTGAGGTTCTGGGGGGAATGTGTATCAAATGCAGTCTATATCATTAACAGACTGCCAACACAAATGTTGCAAGAAAAAACTCCCTTTGAACTATTGTTTGGTCATTCTCCTTCCCTGGACCACATGAGGATTTTTGGTTGCCTAGGTTATGTGACTAATGTAAAAAAGGGTGACAAATTTTCACCTAGAGCCTTACCAGCTATTTTCCTTGGCTACTTTATGACTCAAAAGGGATACAGGATATACAACATCCATACCAAGGAGTTCTTAGTAAGTAGATATGTTATGTTCAAAGAAAATGTATTCTATTTTCAACATCCAGCTTCTTTGTTTCCTGCAATTGACATACCTCAAGTGTCACACTGCCTAATGATATATTTATATCTCCTCTTCCACCCTCTTCTATATCCTTATTTTCTCCTACATCATCTCTTATTTCTGCTTCACCAACTCATCACAATCTAGACCAATTAACTCAAGCAGCTGCTGAGGTTGAGCCAGAATCATTAGCTGAATCTACTCATGATCAGTCTCCTCATCAGACCTCTACAACTAATAATCATTTGGTAGAAACTTCATCTCCTAGAAGATCTGGGAGAACTAGTAAACCTCCTATCTGGCTAAAAGATTATGTTACCAATCCTCAAGGCAAAGCTAACTGCTCATATCCTTTTTTCAGCATATGTTAGCTATAAGAATGTGTCTGACTCATATGCCAAAGCTCTATCTTCTTATTCTGCAGTTGTGGAGCCACAGTCCTACGCTGAAGCTATCAAGGAACCCAAATGGATTGCAGCTATGAAAGCTAAAATCTCAGCTTTAGAGGATAATCACACCTGGTCTATAGTAGAGGTGCCTGCTGGTAAGGTTCCTATTGGATGCAAATGGGTATTCAAAGTAAAGTATACAACTTCAAGTGAGGTTGAAAGATACAAAGCTAGGTTGGTGGTTAAAGGTTACAGTCAAAAGGAAGGGCTTGATTACACAGAAAACTTATCACCTGTAGCCAAAATGGTGACTGCAAGGTCAGTAATTGCAATTGCAGCAACCAAACATTGGCCTCTTTTCCAAATAGATGTTCACAATGCATTATTGCATGGTGAACTTCTAGAGGAGGTGTACATGGATGTGCCTAAAGGGTTTGCAATCCAGGCAGGGTCTCACAAGGTTTGCAAACTTCACAGATCACTGTATGGCTTGAAGCATACACCCGGGCAATGGAACATGAAGTTGACTAATGCCCTGGTGCAGTTGGGCTTCACTCAAAGTCATTTTGACTACTCCCTATTTATAAAGAATGTTTAAGCTGAGCTTGTTGTTGTGTTAGTCTATGTAGATGATCTGATAATCAATAGGAGCGACCTAAATTTGATCATTCCGACTAGAAATGATATGAAACTCGGGTTCAAAATGAAAGATTTAGGAGAACTTAAGTTCTTTCTGGGAATAGAATTTGCAAGATCCAGAAGTGGGATTGTTATGAGTCAAAGGAAATATGCTATGGAGCTGATATCTGAAATGGGACTTGCAGGTGCTAAACCTGCTGGAACACCTCTAGAGACAAACCTGAAGCTTACATCTGTTGAGTATGATATTATCGTAGGATCACCTGAGTGTGAAGACACGTTGTTTGATGATATAGGTGCATATCAAAGACTGGTGGGGATGCTATTATACCTTACAATGACCAGAGTTGATATAACATTTGTAGTACAAGTACTAAGTCAATTTATGCACAAGCTTAAGCAGTCTCACTGGGAAGCTGCCTTGAGGGTTGTGAAATATGTCAAAACTTCTCCATGTCTTGGTATACTAATGCCTTCAAAAGGATTAGATAAGTTGGAAGCATATTGTGACTTAGATTGAGGAGGGTGCTTACATACCAGGAAATTAGTAATAGGCTACCTAGTTAAGTTTGAGAATGTTGATCTCATGAAAATCTAAGAAACAAGACACAGTTGCAAGGAGTTATGTTGAAGTTGAATTCAGAAGTATGGCTTATACAGTTGCCGAGATAACTTGGCTCACAAGACTTTTCAAAGAGTTATGGGTTGATATGAATCTACTAGTTGATCTTTTTTGTGATAGTAAAGCTGCAATCCAAATTGCAGCAAATCCAATCTTTCACGAGAGAACCAAACACATAGACATTGATTGTCATTTCATATGAGAGAAAATCATACAAAGTGCTATGAAGACTCATCACATTCCTATAAAAGAGCAACAAGCTGGTCTTCTCACCAAGAGCTTAGGAAGACTGCAACATGATCACTTAATGTCCAAGTTGGGATTGAAGGATATCTTCAAACCATCAGTTTGAGGGAGGGTATTAAGTAGGTGGTTAGAGTTAGTTAGTTAGTTGTCCAATCATGTAGTGACAACTGTAAGTTAAGGAAATATAGTCGGTTAGATGTGTATATAACATAGTATGTACTCCTCTTGTTAATTCATTCGAAAATCAATGGAACAACAGAATTTCATTTTTCTTCTTCCTTCTTCCTTCTTCCTTCTTCCTCGAGCTTCTCTGCAACTATGGCGGTCTCAATCTCTTAACAACTTTCAGCTCAATTTTTTATAACACTAATATCCGGTCAAATTGGTCTGTCTCGACTTTCCCACTAAG